CAAAATATATGGGCTCGATGAAAGTCACTCTTCCGCCTGCTCGGCTCATCGTCTTATTCATGCGTAGCCTAAATGCTATAGAGCTAAGATGAGCGAAACCGTTTGACGGCCATTTTAAATTGAAAGGCAAAATTAACTCAAGTAGAGCTATGATATAGCAGAGTAGCCTAATAACCATCGCTTCGCCTTTGTGTCTCGATTTCGCGCCGGAGACTAAACGTGCGGGATAAAGCGGGCACAATGTGCTCATGTTCAATGTTCCAAGTAATTCCGGTCCTGAAACGCGCGGTATGAGTAGCTAGATGTGCAGGGAAATATTTCCTTCTGGCGTCTCCAACGACACACGCGCGGGCGCACGCAAGACCCAGCGTTTTGCTGAAATTACGCACTCTCAAATAGCTATACTAAGTCGGTCTAAACATAGACATGGTCGTGGCGTCTCCGTTACCCGCACTCGCATGACTTAATTGCATTTTTGTAATGTTTGTTTGCCGCCCGAGTACAGTTGATGTTAAAGTCATATCAAGTGGAAGATTACATTATGTCCCCCTCGCGATTAGAGCACGGAGATTAAATATATAGTAACGTACGTTACATACTCGCCAAAGGTCGCGCGAGCAGTATCACAGGAACGCACGGCTGTGCATGTATAGGTTACAACGTTGTTCACGAACGCATTGTAATCATCGAGTAGGTGCGCGGGGGAGCGGTACCGTACGAGGAAATAATCGCATTGACATATTATCAAGAGCTCTTGATATTATAAATTACCTACAGCAGCAGCGGTAGAACTATTATTCTATGCAGGGCTCCATACATTGATTAAGTAATCGCGATCTGTCATCTATATGAACGAACGATGAATAATTTCATTTGAATTGCCAGGGTTTACTATAACAATACAATTAGATTTTCATGCGTAGGTACTGTACAATGTCAATCGTCGGGTCGGAGGTCGAAAACAATTTATTTTTTGCACCATGCTACATCCGCTATACATTTACTAGGAGATATATATGTGAACACGGCCGAGTTAAAATTATATATATATAGAGAGAGAGCGAGTGAGACAGAGAAAGAAAGAAAGAAAGAAAGAAAGAGAGAGGGAGCGAGGAAGAGATGGGGGGAGAGAAAGGAATCGAGAGAGTGCACGAGCGAGCGTTGAGTATCAGTCACGTGGTCCCAGAATAAGCTACTTTAATATCTATTGTAATCGTGGGCTTTGTCACATAGTAGACCCCATTAATTAATAAAAAGTAGAATTGACTAAATTATCTTGTTGAATTTTGAATGGTCAACGCGTGCATATATAGTTACGACTTCGTTAGAAGTATCGTAAAACATCCTGATAATTAACTCTGCCTTTAAATATCAGCCTATAAATCCCCCGTTTCATTTCCGAACTCATTGAAACGAACGTGCATTTCCATGTGTATAGGAATGATTAAATTTTAAAAGTATTTGTCTCGTCCTGCTTGCACGCGTTTGTATTGTAATCTTTGCGAAATAGATTATTGTATTGATTAGCGCTGTAAATGGCTGCAACGAATGTCAATCTGTTGAAATCTCCTAATATATAACTATTAGTAAGAATATAAACCGCGATAATTATGGGGTAATAGGCGCAAATTTCCCTCTATCGCTCTCTCTCTCTCTCTCTCTCTCTCTCTCTCTCTCTCTCTCTCTCTCTCTC